TCCCTTTCCCCCTCCCTATCCCCCTGCCTTTCCCCCTTTCCCTCTCCCCTACCTTGTGACCCGGGGGCCTACCCCCCCCCCCCCCCCAGCCCCTCCCCTCCCCTTCCCTGCCTCAGACTCCTGACCTCGGCGTGGGTGCCGCCCCGCCGCCTCTCCCACGCCATGAGGAGGGCGGACCGAGGCCGACTCCAGGCTCGCTGAGCGTGCCAATGGCGTTGTGCCGGCAGAGCATGCCCATGTCGCAGGCGGTGCCCATACAAGAGCAGGCCCCGCCTACCGGCCTGCCGACCGTCACTGCCTGCCAGCCCATCGGGCCGCCCCTCTCCTCACAACCCCTCTTCTGCTCCGAGCCGCCCCTCGCCGCGCCGCCCCTCGCCGCGCCGCCCCTCGTCACCGCCCAGATGGGCGAGGGGGACGGCTCCGCCGCGGCCGTGTGCGAGGTCAGCTTCGAGCACATCTGGGCCCCCGCCCCGCCCCCGATGGCGTCGGTCGCCTCGGCGGAGCCGATCGGCTGAGCAGAGGCGCCGCGAGCAGGCCGCGAGGCCGCGAGGTGTTTTGAACTGATTGAGTCGTGACGAGGGGTGGCGCCGTGACGAGGGGTGGCGCTGGGGCGGCGCGGCTCGTCGGGGTAGGCGAGCTCTCGCGCGGCGTCTCGCGCCGCGGACAAGGGTCAAGGCGCGCCGGGGCGCTGCCGGCTGTGGTAAACTGGGGGAGCGGTCGTATAAGTAAGGCCGGGGAGCGGGAAAAGGCCGGGAGGGTGGCCTCTGAGGGTGGCGCACTCTTTCCTGCCCCGCTCAGACAGATGGCCCGGCCGCTTCTCGACGCTTCCGCTTAAGGCTTAAAAATGTGAATGTGTGTGTGTACTGTGTTGCGTTGAGAATCAAATATGGCGCGCGCCGCGGGGTCGCGGCACGCGGCGGGCAGAGGCCGGTGCCACAGCGGCAGCGCGGTGCCGCGGTGCGCGGTGGCCGCGGTGTGGCGTGTGCGCCGTGTGTGGGGTGTGGGCTGTGGCGTGTGCGCGCGCTCAAAGCCTCAAACGGCCAAACGCTCGATTCACTGGTCTGGACGATATTTTTCACGGTATCCATGGCGAGATATGGCGGGATACCGCGGGATACCGCGGGATACCGCGGGAGACTGGGGGAAACTGGGAGAGACCGGGAGAGATACCCGGAGATACGAGATCCACCACGGGAGATACGGGATACGCGCGGAGATATGGGGAGATACGGGGAGATACGGGGAGATACGGGGAGATACGGGGAGATACGGGGAGATAGAGGGAGACAAGGGGAGATAGCGCAAAAGATCGTCCAGACTAGGGCTCGCTCGGGCGCCCGACTCGGGGCCCACGCCGGCCACGGCCGAGGGTGCACCGGCCACCGGGTGCACATGTCGGCATCGGCGACCGCAATGTCGCTCAATCAAGGCTCATCCTCTCAGACTCACGGTAGAGATGCCGTCGATGACGATATAATCACAAAAATTGCCTTGTTATTGGTGTGGTTTTGTCCGCGCGGGGGGGCGGTTGCGCGCGCGCTTGGCCTTGGGCTGCGGGCGGGAGCCGGGAGCCGGGAGGCGGGAGCGGCAGCCGGCACGCGGCACCGGCAGCGCCGGCAGGCTCCGCGGAGCAGGCCGCCGTGCCCGTGTGGGGGCGGGGGCCGGGGCTGCACGGCTAGACCAACCGCCGCCACAAACAATTCTCCAAGAGTTATTTAAACAGTTATACTATACGCCACACATCAAGCGCCGAACCACGAGAGCCTCTCATTGAGAGCGCGGAAGCCTCGCCCCGGCGAACGGCAATCAACAACGAAAGCTCCGACGAACCCGGCCTCCCCCATGCACCATGCACCCCGCCACACTACAGCCGGCACAAGACAGACACAGACACAGACACAGACACAGACAGAGCGCGCGTCGCTCACAGGGGGCACGCGCCCTCTGGCCTCGAGTCTGCCAAGCTCGCCAGGACCCGCGCCGCGCGCTCCTCCCCCTGCTGCGGCGTCCACACGCCGGAGAGGGGGAGGGAGGAGGCGCCGTCGCTCGGCGAGGCCGCCTCCGCGCCACTGCGCGAGCCGTGCTGCGCCGCCTCGCGCTCGCGCAAAATCGCCTCCATGAAGACCTGGTCACGCCGGCGGCGGTGGGGGCGGGTGAGTGCGCCTGGCTGTCGAGGCTGTCGAGGTGGCGGAGGCAGAGGGCGGGGCGGAGGGAGGGGGCGGAGGGAGGGGGCGGAGGGAGGGGGCGGAGGGAGGGGGCGGAGGGAGGGGGCGGAGGGAGGGGGCGGAGGGCGTGCGGCGTGCGCCTCCCCTGCCTTGTAGCTCGACCGGACCAGCGGACCACTCGCAACGTACCTGAGGGGCGGGAGGGCGGGGCGATGGCTGGGGGGGAGGGGGGGAGGGCTCGGGGTTGGGCGGGGGGCGCGCGCTTGAATCCCATCGCCATCCCCTCGCGCTGCCAGTAGTCGTACTCCTCTGGAGGCAGCATGCGCGCGACCTAGGAGCGAGCAGCGCCTCGGTGGGGACCCCCCCCCACACACACACACCCACCCACCACCACCACCACCCTTCCCTTCCCTTCCCTTCCCCTCCGGGCGGCAGCGGCGCCTTCATGTGCCTCCTCGACGGGCGAAGGTACTGGCCGAGGGTGAAGATCTCGACGCCGGCGTCCCGCATGTCTCGCATCGTCTGCCGGATCTCATCGTCGCGCTCGCCGAAGCCGAGGATGATGGAGGTCTTCGTCACCAGGCTCGGGTTCACGCTGCGCGCGTGCTCCAGCACGCCGATCGACTCGCGGTAGCCCGCCCGGCGGTCCCGCACGGAGCCCTGCAGCCGCTCGACAGTCTCGATGTTGTGTGCGTAGACGTCGAGGCCGGCGGAGGCGACGGTGGCGACGCCGTCGAGGCCGGAGGTGCCGTTGAAGTCGGGCGTGAGGCACTCGAGCCGCATCGACGGCTTGAGCTCCTGCTCCGGGGGGCGGGGGGTGGGGGTGGGCGGGTGGGGGAGGGGAGAGGGATGGAGGTGAGGTGGTGTGGGTGGGTGGGTGAGGGGGGGAGGGGGGAGGGGGGAGGGGGGGGGAGCAGCGGTTCGGCGAGAGCGGGCGGCGGGCGAGGAGGAGGGAGAGAGAGGGTCCGAGGTGGCGAGGCGGGTGTGAGGGGTGGTGGTGCGAGACGGGACTGCCGGTCGCGCCTTGACCCGCCGAACGACCCTGGCGTAGTGCGACGCGCCGCCGTCAGGGATGTCGTCTCGGTCGACCGAGGTGATGACGACGTAGTCCACCTCCCACGAGGCGATCGCCTACCGCGCAAGCAGCACGCCCCGCCTCACCACGCGTGTGGCCGCGCCTCTCCCGCCCCCTCCCCGGCGCGGCGCCTCGGCCGTCTTTTCCGGCTCATCGTCTGCAGGCAGCGCCGGCGCGCGCGAGGTCTTGACGTTGCAGAAGCGGCAGCCGCGCGTGCACGTGTCGCCGAGCACCATGATGGTCGCCGTGGCGGCCCCCTTCTTGCTCGACCAGCACTCGCCGATGTTGGGACACCGCGCCTCCTCGCACACGGTCGCCAGCTTGCTCGCGCGCAGGCCGTTCCGGATCCGCATGTAGTCGTCCCCCCCAGGCCGCTGCACCTTGAGCCAGTCCGGGTGGCGCGTGTGCTGCTTCTTCACCGCCCTCTTCGTCCCTACCCGCTCCGCGACGGAGACAGAGTCGGTCCACGACGTCTCGTCCTCTGTGGCGACGTCCGATGCGAGCTGCTCGCGAAAAGCCGCGAGACGAGGGCTGACCTGCTGCTGCGGTTGGGCCTGGGAGGAGAAGGCGCGGCCGGCCGCCCTGCCCGACAAGCGGGACACGAACCTCGCGCTGCGAGACAGCATTCGCGAAGAAGCAGGCCGCCGACAGCAAAATAAAAATTGCATGATTTTCTGGTTTCTTTCTTTCTTTGCTCGCTTTCGCGTTTCTTTCTTTCTTTCTTCGGACTTTAATGTATCTCTCGGACCAAAAAGCAAGCAAGGAAAAAAGAAATGGGCGAGAACCGATCGCAGCACTTCGTGTTGGAGAGTCGAGAAATTGAGATTGTGACTATAGGAGGGAGGGACGCTGAAGATTCTCAAATGTAACGCAATGTATACCCTCGCGCCTTGCCCTTGGAATGGCCGGATCCAGCCTTAAAAGTACGAGATCGCGGCGCTTCGCGCGCTGCACCGCCTGTTCTCCGCGGCTGAGTGACGACGCGTGCCGTGTGCCAGCAGAGTTGGGCGCGCGCGGCGCGACGGCGCCCGCGAGGGAAGGCGCGGGTGCAGCGGCCGGCGGCGGCCGTACCGCTCGCCAGCCGGCGCAAATTCTGGGTACACGGCCTGAGCATGCCAAAGGCCTCGCCGTCGAAGGCGAGAGAGAGCCCCACTTTGAGGGCGCCATGAAGTACAGCGATCGCCACCTCGCTGGCCTCTCCGCAGGCCCCCCCGACCGCGTCGAACTCATCGGCGCGGGCTCTCTCGGCTACGGGACCGGCCCCAGCTTCGGCTGAGGGCTAACAAGCTGCCGAGCCCAAATCACTGTGAGAGTCGTGATTTCTTGTTGGTTAATAAAAATCTCTCGAAGGCGCCGCTACCGAAGAAGCCGAGGGAGCCGAAGGAGGTGAAGGACGTGGCCTTGAACACGATGCGCGTCGCCGCCGACAACAAAATAAAAATCGCATCATTTTCAGAGAGAGAGATTTTTAGCAATACCAAACAACTCTAACACTCACACGTAATTTGGGGCCTGGAGCCCTGTTCACGCGCGCGCGAGACGTGCAGACAGGGTTGCCAGGTGAGAGCGAATGGCGCGGTTCACGCCTCGCACAACAGAGAGAGAGATGCGCTCTTATTTTCACCACACTCCTCTCCTTAAAATCCCTGTGTGGTGGCGGCGTGCCGTCCTCCCCTCCCTCCCTTGGATCGCCCATTTTCAGTGATATGTTATTTTTGCTTGGGGCGGCACTCATGACGGGGTAGGTAGGGTAGGGTCTGGGCCCTCCCGTCGGGTTTTTCCCTCTCTCACGCCGGAATTTTCCCAGCAGAAAAAGAATTTTTCCGCCCAAATCACGATGTCAACCCTCCCCAAGTCGTTGATCTGGTGCTTGTAGGGCTTGAGAGTGGCCTGCCATGTCACAGGAAGGACTGTGGTTGCAGGATAGTACCACCAACCATCACTTTAGTTGGTATAGTACCCCACCTTCACCCACGCCGTGATTTCTTTTTTTAGTTTCCCATAAGTAAGGTAGGTAGGTAGGTAGGTAGGTAGGGGCAGGGCAGGGGCCGGTCAGGTTTTTGCAGAATTTCATCAGGAGGCAGCTTCGATCCACCTTTGGATCAACGACAAGCTCGAGTGCGCGGAGTTCAAAAAGGAATGCCGGAGACTTCCAGGCACGTTTGTGGCCAACTACGGTGCAAAGCCGTGGGTCTGCGGCCTTTGCAACGCGCCCATTCCGATGGCTAACCTCGGCGGCTGGAAGCCCACCGCCAAGTACTGGACGCAGCCGACGGGAAAGAAGCTGTGTAAGGATTGCGTGGTGGGTCGCGTGCGACAGAAGCTCGGAGACGACGACGCCGAGATCAAGCGGCGCTTCCGGGCGATCTTTGCGAGGAAGGGCCACCTGCTCGTCAAGGCCGGCATAAGCGGCTACGTGACATTCGGTTATGAGCGAGAAGACTCGGCCGAAGAGGACGAGGACGAGGCCAAGGCCAAGAAGGCAAAGACGGAGGATGGTGGGGCGAGCGGGAAGGCGGGCGCGGACCAAGGTGCCGCCAGCAGCGGCGTGAAGCAGGAGGACGCATGAGCTCTCTCCACCGTCGAGGCGCCGGAAGGGGCGACGATGATGTCATATTGCAATAGCTGTGTGCAGTCAGTCAGCCAGTCTTACACACACACACAGATCTCCAATTATTCATTGCCGAAGGAAGCACGGGGACCAAAACCGGCAGGTCACCCGCGACCCGCAACGGAGACAGAGCACTTGCGACTTGGGGAGTACGGAGTAGAGCTACGCTCATGTCACATAAAAAAAGATGAACTTTAATCGATGAAACTTGACACGCTGAGCGCCGACCGACCTTTCGCCGGCCGAGTTTGACCGTCAACTCTCTCGGTGTCACCGAGATGCCCGCGCCCCCGCCGCCGCCGAGATTTCCTTTGCAGCAGTACGTCAACCTTCTCGTCGACTTCATTCGAACACACAGGGCGGCGACAAGGTGCAGTTGACGTCGCTGGGCAAGGTGCCGAAGCCGCATGGCCTGCAGCGCAAGCTCAAGTCGGTGATCAAGCAGCATCCTGCCATCTTCACCCTGTACGAGGGCGCCGTCTCCGGCGGCGCGGAAACCGTTTCTCTCGTCGTCACCCCGTCACCGCCGGCCGCTGTCCCTCCGCAGCCTGCCTCGCCGTCGTCGCAGGGCCCGCCGGTCGCCGCGACGGAGGAGCATACCGTCATTGCCTTCGGCCAGCAGCTGCGCGCGGACGACGCCCTGCGCGCCCGCTGCGCCAAGAAGGACGCCTTCAAGGCCGAGTACGCCGCGTGGAAGGCCCGCGAGCTCACCGACGGGCGCAAGTGGCGCGGCGCGGCGGCGACCGTGCTCTTCCGCCTGTGGCGCTTCTCGGCGGCGCAGGGCGCGAGGCTCGGCGTGGTGCGCATCAAGGCCGTTGTCGGCCAGCGCGTCTACTTCGCCGCGATCGGCGCCATGGCGGCCCTCGCGGAGAGCGTCGTCGAGCAGCGCGACGTGATGGAGAAGGACAAGTTCGGCGTCCGCGTGACGCCTCTCCACGTGTTCGAGGGAGGGCTCATCGTCCGTCGCGGCGCCGCGGTCCAGCGCACGCTCGTCGTCGAGAACGCGAGCGACGAGATGCGCGAGCTGGCCGGCGCCAGCTTCCTGCAGCGCGGCCCGGGGCCCTTCTCGAGCAGCTTCACAGGCGAGGACGGCGCGCTCGTTCTGACGCCCGGGGGGAAGGTGACCCTCACCCTCACGTGCCGCCCCATCCTCTCCGGCATGTGCAACAACGTGCTCAACCTCAACTTCGGCCACTTTGGCATCGCCCGCTTCCTCGAGGTGCGCTGCGGCGACGCCGATGCGATCACCGACCTCGCGCCCACCCGGCCCTACCAGAGGCGCCCGAGGCGCCGCCCGCCGCCGCCGACCAAAGAGACTGAAGTGGTCGAGGCGCCGCCGCTGGGGTCGTCGTCGTTTGGCGGCGCGGCCGCCAACACGCGCCGGGCGCAGGCGGGGAAGCTACCACTCTACAGGATCCCCGGAAGCCTCCGCGCGGCCGTGGGCAGCGGCGAGGCCGGCGAGGCCCTCGAGGCGGCCTGCGAGCAGATGAAGCGGCTGCTGGGCGGCGTGAGCGAGGCGGCGGCGTTGGCGGCGTACAAGAAGGCGTTCCACGAGCTGCTGTGGGTGGAGGAGATGCAGCTGAACGACGACCTGCGGGAGTTTGACCTGCGCGCCGACGACGCGACCGTCCTCACGCCGCGCGGCCGGCTGTTCGCCCTCGAGGTGCGCGGCCTCGCCGAGAATCGGCCCTCCGTCCTCAAGGGCGACGTCATCAAGGCCAACTTCCCCGGCGGATCAACGAGTGAGATTCTACCAGATGACGAAGCTGGCCATGCGGGGACAGCTGGAGCAGCCGTTGCAGCCCCTGTGGCGCTGGGCGGCATCTACGCCGCTACCACTGCTGGCGGCCCCGCGCATCCGCCTCAGCAATATCGGTCGACATCTTTCTTTGAGAGAGTCCGCTTTTATGAATTCTTCTTTCGACTGTCCCGTGTGGGCGACTGACTGTCTGGTATAGCCCCAGCCTACTCCGCGGGCAATTTTTCGCGTGAACTCTCGAGGGATCTCGAGTTGCGGAGCTCCCAGCTGCTAGGTAGGTAGGTACGTAAGCTGCTCGGTGTACGAACTCTCACAGCCTTGTTATTGAGAAGAAAATACGTCCTATGGCGCTGTGCGCTGGTCTGTGAGAGGTTGAGGTGCGAGCCCTGTTGATGTTCACAGTAGGGTGATAAGAAAGAAGAACCGCGCACCGAGCAGCGAGGAGTGGCGCTGATAGGGTACTGACGAGAGGCCATATACATCACCAGAGGAGGAACTCCTTGGCGAGACCCTCGCACGGGGGGCACTTGCGGTTGACGCGCTCTCCGGGCCGAGCAATCTCGTGCAGGACTTCACCTTTTCTTTACAGTTGTCCAGCTGAAACCCACGGCTGAGGAGTCCGCCCTGGCGACGCTGTTCGAGAATGACGAGTTCTTTGGAGCTGTCGGCGTAGCTGGCCACTGGATCGGCGTTCGGGTGCCATCGGAGACGAATGGCCGGCCCAGCGCACCGAAGGTCTTCTATCTGGGTTCCGCGCTCGACATTGCGTCTTCTGTCGCGTTTTTGTACCTGTTTGTCTTTGTACGTACTTTTAGCTTACTGGGAGAAAAGAGAGAGGGGGTTTGTGTTCTCTAGGCCCCTAAGGGCCCTACGCGCGGCGTGAGAGCTCGGAAGCGAGCTTTGCACACTCTCTCTTTGTATAGTCAGTGTCACTGTCAGTGGTCAGACGAGAGAGAAGAGAGAGAGCGCCCGAGAGCTCTGCGGCCCGGTTGGGACGAGTGCGCGACGCGGACGAACCGCTCAATATGGCCGGCAGCTCGCGCTGCCGGGGTCCCGGGGTTGATTAGGGAGAAACCGGCACGGGGAGAAAGCCTCCCCGGAGGGGCTGCCCCCCGGAGACCAGAGGGCCCAACGGGCCCCCCAGGGGCGTGAGCCCCCCGGCCCCCGCCCCTAGCATTTCCCGAAAAACTTGGAGCACTTGGAGTGCAGTTATTAACCGCACGCCCTGAGCCGGGGAGCTAAGAAGTGCACCCAGAGGCGAAACTTGGAGCACTTGGAGTGCAGTCAGTCAGTCGGTAGCCTCACATCCAGCCAGGGCCGGGGAGCTAAGAAGCGCACCCAGCGAGCCAGATGCTCGGGGACGGGTTGCGGGCAAGAGAGCCCTAGCCCCTAGGGGGGTGCGCGTTCGCAGGGAAAGGGCCATAAAGTAAACACGGGTCTTCGAGGGTCAGCCCCGACCGAAAAAACGAAGTCAAGTTTCGGCGGCTGCCCCCCGAAGTTGAGATGATCAGTGGGCAAACATGGCGTCCGACCTCACGACCACTAGCGCGGACACGGGCGTCAACGGCCGGGCGCTGATCACGAGCTTGCGGGCGGCGGCGGCGCGCGCGCGTCGGGCCGTATCGCACCGCTGCCTCAAAAGGCGAAGCGGGGTCCCCGCACCTGCTGACGTGGACGGACAGACCGTCTGGACAGTGAGCAGTCTTGAGGCGGCCGTGCTGGCGTGGCTCGGTGGAGGAGGGGAGGTCAACGCGACGTTCAAGGAAGGGTCAGTGAGCGGCTTGACATTGCTCATGCTCGCCGCCGAGGACGGCGCGGTCGAAGTGGTCGACCTTCTTCTGCGCCACGGCGCGAAGATTGACCATCAGGCGAGCGACAGGCGCACGGCGCTAGTCGCCGCTAGCACGAAGGGACACGAGCAAGTCGTCGATATGCTACGGCACGGCGCTGAGGAGAAGACGGGCGGCTCCGGCGCCTCCTGCGGCGCTGGACCATCGCACGTTGACAACTTCTTTGCGCTCAACCCGGACGAACCCGCCACCGTCGCAGCCTTTGTCGGCCGGTACAACCTGTCTCGAACCCTGTCGACTGCTACCAGGGGAGGTGCCTGCAGAAGATTGGGAGAAGGCGAAAGCGAAGGCGGCGGTGGCAGTAGCGGAGGAGCTGGAGGCGGCGGCGGAAAAGGGCGCGATGGATGGAGACGATAGAGACGCGCCCGGACACAGAGCATCAATCAGAGGGGTCCACGCGCCGTCACGCGACTCCTCACTCTCCCCGCGCGGCGCCGCTTTTGCTTTGAGCTTTGTGGGTGCGGCGCACCCCGAGACCCACTCCGACATGTATAAGTTCTAAGTATAATATTGTGTCCGTACAAGTTACAACACACTGACAGTAGGATGTACGAAGAGATTAGGAGCAGCAGGGACCCGAGGGACCATGTGGAAGACGGCTAGTGCTAGTCCCCCATCTCGGGAGGACCTCTGGGCCGGCGCGGGGCCCCCCGGAGGCACCGTGCGCCGCGCCGCAGTGCGGAAACGGGGCTCCGGCTCCGCTAGTCTCAGCTAGCACCGACTTCCCGATTAAGTACGGTTAAGTAGAGGGCAGATTTGGAGAGATCTCGAGGAGTACATACAGATAGACCCTCCAACCATCAGAAAACTCCGACCTGATCGGTCGTACTGAGCGCCGACAGATCACTCCAGACAGCAGACAGGCCGACGTCTGCACGCGGCCGGCCGGGCGAGAGGCTTGACACGATCCGACCCTGCGACCCTGACGCTGCTGCTCTAGCTATCAGCCATGCACTGCTGACTGCTGCCACAATGTGCGACCTGTGCTGGCCCACTTGGCGGCCTTCCCGGTCAGTGGTGAGGCGCAGTTCAGAGCTGTCGATGGCGCGATGCCGCACTGGTCCCACATTGGTGACACGATACCACCAAGTTTGCCGGTCCAAGAGAAAGGCACCGGCGCTGTCCTGAGAAGATGCGTGGTCCCTCTTGACTGCCCATGCGCGCGAGGCTGTGTAGGCATAGCCTCGAGAGTGCCAGCAGCCAATCCGAGGCAGTTTGTGACGCGCATTGCGCCAGAAGCGTGCACACGATGGAAGGACACCTTCCTACTGGCCGTACGATCAGGTCGTCACTGAATGCTTGATACTAAGGCCGCGAGCTATGCAGGTGATCAACTGTGCATCATCGCACGGTCAGCAGCGCCGACAGGCTGTCGCAAGGCGTGATAGCATGGCCGCAAGTCCGCCGAATTCCCATGGAAACAGGTAAAAAATTGCAGAAAAAAGAAAAAAATCTGAAAAAATCGGCGCCTGCGGCGGGCCATGGGGCCCCATCTCCCCCCCGCATGGACACCCTCTGGGGCCCCCGCGCCGGCCCAGAGGGGCCGGACGACCCCAGCTCTAGTCGCCGACCACACCCCACAAAGAACCCTGCACAAAGATCGCAAGGGCGGGGACCTGTTCCTTTTTACCCATCTCACAGTAGAGAGGTGTCCGTTTTATTTATTTATTTATTTGACAGTACGTCGTTCCAGGGCGTTGTCATATGCAAGACGCTGAAGACGGACCAATACGTCATCAATATCGGACAAATCAACCACGATGGTGCCTGACGCCTAGCCTGACGCAGTGACGGCTGACGCACGCATGTCGCTCTCGCCCTGCTTCTCACTCTACACGCATCATCACCGACGTTCGGAAGGGCAGCATCACCGCGTCCGCCCGCCGGGCCGCCAGCACGGAGGACTGCTCGATCTCTGCCGTGCCGCCCGCGCCGGCCTCGTGCTCGCTCAGCGGCGTCAAGTCCCAGAGCTGGACGAGTCCGATCGAGAAAGCGTCGGTGGAGGGGGCCATCGCAGAGAGGTCTCCAAAGGTGTGGCAGGAGAGGCAGCGGCCGGTGGCGAGGTCCGTCGAGACGGAGATTGCTGGGAGGAGCGCGTCGCCGCCTATGGGGACGTGTCCCGGAGGTGCCATGGACGACGCTGGACGATCAGCCTGTTGTTGTTCTCAGAATGGCGTCGCCGCCTATGCCGATGCCGCTCTCGCCGCTGACGCGGAAGCAGCCCGCCGACCGGCTGGCGGCGGGGTAGACCCGTGCGCGCGGCGTGAGGGAGAAGAGGAAGGAAGACGCGTCGCCAAAGCTAGCGCTGCGCTGGTTGGGCGTGCGCGGCCACGGAGTCGGGCAGAAGGCGCCGATCGTGAAGGGGGGAGGGCGGCCAGGGACGTGCCTGCGCGCCTGCCGGCTGATGTCGCGGAGGGCGAGGGGCGAGAGGATGCTCCTCGGCGGCGCCTCCTCGCCGCCGCCCGCCCCGCCCGCGCCGCCGCTCCCCTCCTCCTCCTCGCCTTCGCCCTCGCTCTCGCGGAGAGTGACAACCAGCGCGCTCGCGGCCGTGCCGCTGGCGGCGGCGCGGCGCAGCATGGTCGCCAGCGACCCGCCGTGCAAGTCGCTCGAGAAGACGAGCCTGGGGAGGGGTGTCGAGGGGGGTCAGCGGGCGGCCCTCCAGCCGCCGTGCAAGAAGGAGAGGAGAGGCGCCGCGGCGAGACGCCTTCGCGAAGTGTCGCGGACATGTCATGGACTGTGCCTCGACTCTCTCGAGGACGGGGACGGCAGGGCGCCGCGCAGAGACGGAGGCAGCCGCTCGCAGAGGAGGTCGTGCAGCTGCGCGCCTCGCCCCTCGTCGCGTCGAGCCACGGCTCTCGCCTCAAACTGGGACTGGTGGTACCGCCACGAGTCCGCCGCCGACACCCTCGCGCGTACGCACGTCCGGCACACCCCTCGCTTGATGCAGGTGAAGTAGATTGCGCCGCTCGGCATCGCCTGGCGAGGAGGGGGCGGACAGTTGCCGCCACTCGTTCTTCTCGACCAGCCGTGGGGCGCATCGCTGGGTGAAGTGTGCGTGCGCAGCTGGTGCGTGCGTCACTCTCTACCAGCAGTCTCTGGCGTCTTGCGTCACAAGTCTCTCTCGACCAGTGTCTGGCGCGTCTGTCACTCGCCTGGCAGAGGTTGCAGACCATCGACCGGACGAGACCGACCCTCAGCCGGCACGAGTCCGAGCTGGCGAGGAGGGAGGTGAGAGCAGATTTGAAGGCGGCCGCCTCCGCCGCCTCGGCGGCCGCCTGGATGGCCGCCTGCCGCTGTATCGAGTTGGTGATGCGCCGGCCGGCGGCTGCGACGTCCTCCTCGGCCACGCCACCCGCCCTTGCCAGCCGGTCGAGGTGTGTCTGCCACAGGGAGTCCGGGATCGTATCTCTAAGCTCCTGGCTCGTCGACGCGAGCGACGAGAGCGCCTCGATATCGAGCCGTGTGCAGATGCAGACGAGCAGCTCCGCCGGGAGACCCAAGAGCGATGGCGAGGGCGGCGGCGGAAAAGGCGGCGGCGGAGGAGTCAAGGGCGAAGCTGTGCAAGCGTCGGGAGCAGGGCGGCTTTGCGAGGCGCCCATGTTCTCTCGAGGTTCTCGAGGTGGATTCCTTCGGCCGCGTTGGGTATGTGCCCAGCTGTGGACGGCACACTTGGCGAACACAGAAAAAGAATTCAGGAACCCTCTCTCACAGCACACAGGCTCGACACAGGTGCGAACTGGCGCGTGCTAGTACTATCACCGGCACACCACCGGAGCCGCCTAAGCAAAAGAATTTTTGCAGGGCAAAAACTCCCACAAAAAGAAGGATTTACCCCGAAGGGAGGCGTGTGCCGAATCCAGTTAACCCTGGAGGCGGATTAGCGGGGTCTGTCCGACTCGCTGCACGGTTGGCTGCGGCGCCGTCTAGGTCGTGCAAGAGGGTGACGGCGTGTCCGATGCAGTGGACCGAGCCGAAACCCAGTGCTCGCACAGCCGCAACGCACTGGGTGATGCAGAAGCGCCCTACCGGAAGCGCAGCCATGAGCGGTGCGCGACGCCAAAGAAAATCAGGGCTACGCGTCGACATCGTCGTCGCTAAACACGTCGAGGGCTGTCGGACCGGCTAAAGGAGTGTCGAAGAGATTGAAAAGGCCGAGCATAACAGCATCGCGGTCGCCTCCAGACGCCCATCCAGGCAGTGACGCGCCGCTGCCGTTCCCCAGCTGCACAAGAGCTCGACGATTGCCGAGGCTGTACTTGGAGCACTTGGAGTGCAGTCATCAACCGCACATCTGTTGCGCCCTTTTCTCTGCTGAACAAATGGGTCAAGGCCGCGACGAGAAAGCACATTCGACAGCTCCGCTCCACGTGCGCATAATGGAGCTTGTCCTCCGCCAACGCGATCTGTGCCGAGGAAGATATCGGGCACGCGATCTGTGCCGACGGTATGAATTGGCCTGTCCGAGGGTTTCCTCTCGCACCCTACCTGGTTTCCTTTCCGTGTTTCCTGCTCGTTTCCCTACAACACCCTCTAGTTTCCTCGGGAAACCCCGGGGAAACTCCGTGGAATTCGTCATTTTGGGGGGGCTCTGAGCCGTGTCTGAGGCTGTTTTGGGGCCAAAATCGGCAAAATACCGGGTATTTTGCGGGTATACCTGGAAAACCCCGGTATACCTGGAAAATACCTGGGTATCGTGCCGATTTCCTCAATTTTGCCCCAGATTTTGCCCCAGACCAGCTCTCAGACTCAGGGAAACTCGCGAGTTTCCCGAGGGAAACTCGAGAGAAACAGAATGGAGCACCAAACACCCTCTGGTTTCCCTGGAAACTTCCGGAAACGCAAAGTGCTGGGGACCCTCTGGTTTCCCTCTGGGTTGCCGGAAACCCTCGGACAGGCCAAGGTATGAAACGCTCGCCGTAGGATGGCGCCGAGCGCTTTATTTGGAGTCAGCGACAAGGTGCAGAGAGAGAGATTTGTTTTGTTCAAGGTGCAAGAGATCTATCTCTCTCTCTCAAGGTGCCGGCAAGGCCATTGTTGGGTCCACAATCGGGTCACCACCGTTACCGTTGACTCGGGCGCGGTCGACCCGGCAACATAGGTTTGAGAAAAGTGGTTTGCTGAAATAGAGAAAGAAAACAAGCAAGCCATGAAGGAGTTTCTCCTCTCTGGTCGTTTTTTTTCTTCTCTTCCAGCGCGAACGGACACGGCCGAAAGCGCGACGAGGCGCGTGGCGAGATGTCATACCCTCCAGTGGCCGAGGGCATCCCCGTCGGCGACGTCGCGGGTGGCCAGGCGGCGCCACGAGTGCAGCGTCAGACCTCAGAGGGTTTCCTGCGCAACCTCGGCATGCCGCCAGGCATCAACGCCTCGTTCCTCCGCTCCAACGAGTCGTTCCCACTGCGAATCTGGATCATCGACAACTCCGGCTCGATGCAGACCACGGACGGCAAGCGCATCATGCGCGGACCCGGCGGGCGCGAGGGCGTGGTGGACGCCAGCCGCTGGGACGAGCTGGGCGATTCTCTAATCTGGCACGCCACGCTGGCGGCCAACCTGGGCGCGCCGACCGAGCTGCGGCTGCTCAACCCGCCCGGCGGCGGCTCGCCGCAGGTGCTGAGCGTCGGCATGGGCGGCGACGCGGCGGCGGAGGTGGACGCCGTCAAGAAGCTGATCAAAAGCGGACCCACCGGCCGCACGCCGCTGTGCGAGCAAATTCGGCAGGCGACGGCTCGCATCCAGGCCCAGGCGGACGTGCTCCGCGCCAACGGGCAGCGCGTCGTCGTCGTGATAGCGTCGGACGGCGCGGCGACGGACGGCGACATTGAGGTGGCGATGCGGCCGCTGCAGTCTCTCCCGTGCTGGGTGGTGGTGCGGCTCTGCACCGACTCGGAGGACGTTGTGCGGTACTGGAACGCCGTCGACGAGGACCTCGAGCTCGACATGGACGTGCTGGACGACTTGATGGGCGAGGCGGCCGAGGTTGGCGAGAACAACGGCTGGCTGACCTACTCTGCGGCGCTGCACCGGCTCCGCGAGTGGGGCTGCGACGCGAAGGTGTTCGACGTGCTCGACGAGAAGAAGCTCTCCATCCCCGAGATGGCGAGCCTGGTGGAGCTCATCCTCGGCCCAAAGGCGGAGGGGCCCGCAGGAGGAGCAGCGGGAGTGAAGCGAGGCGCTGTTCACGGGCTGCGGCTGTGAACAGGCGGAGGACCTCCCCAACCCGCAGCTCGACTGGGAGGGCTTCCTCAAGGGCCTCGAGGCGGTGCAAGCCTCGCTGCCAAAGGTGCGTCCGCGCACCCGCCACCCAGCCCGCCTCCGAGCCCGCCGCCACCCTCACCTCTCCCGTCCGCTGCATGCCGCCGCCGCCACCCTCGCCGTTGCCACCCAGCCCGCCTCTGAAGCCGCCGCTGCCCCGCTCACCGCCACCGCCACCGCTGCCCAAAGGTGTGGGACCCGCTGCGCTCGCGCAAGGTGCCGTGGGTCGACGGCCGCAAGCTCGTCAAGGCGTACAAGAAGGGCGACGGCTGTGCAGTCATGTGAGCTCGCAAACGTCATGGGGCGTGGGACGCGCCGGGTGCCCGTCTCGCGCGTGAGGCCGGAAGGTCGGAGGGTGAGGGCCGGCGCCGTCGCACCAAAAGGCAAGGCCTAGGGATGTTGAGTGGGGGGTGCGTGCACGCCAGGTGATGTGTGCGCGCTGCAACAGGCATGTCCATGTGTCAGAACGGCGAGGATTGGAGGAAACGAAGAAGTTGGAAGCTGGATATCGATTTGTGGCGTGTGGAGGTCGAGAGGCGCGCGGTTTGGACCGGTGTGATGTGCCGGTGCGTACCGAAAATGAAATAAGAATATCGGATACAATATCCGAAACCTGTACCTCGCAACGAAGTGTGCCGTGTCTCCGACCGATATCTCTCCACACTCCAGGGTGTGTGTGTGTATCTCTCTCGATCTCCTCTCCCCCAGAGTGTCGTCCGCTCCCGTAAAAAAATAAGCCGCCGTGCATGCACATGGCCATGTGCATGTTGCATGCACATGTGCATGTGCATGTGCATGTGCATGTGCATGCACATGTGTGCCGGTGCGGATGCCGGACTTGTCATTGCGCAAAAAAGTGTGTGCGTGTGGAGAGAGAGAGAGTGGCTAGTTCCATTTCACTGTGGCACAGCTCGCGTTACACAATCTTGATTGTGGTCATTTGCGCCATTTCGTACCTCTTCGGTGCCTTCCAGAGGCAGCCGCGACCCCGCCGAGT